GGAGGAGACCCAACCTGTGCGATCTAATTGGTCTGAGAGAGGTAATCGGCAGGAGGCGGTCTCTCAGGTAAGCCAGGAACTATGTGCTCTAGTCTCACCTTAAACACGAAAGCTAGCTCTGGGTGACTTTGGGCCACTCATTCTCTCTCAACCCAATTCGCTTCATAGGATTGTTGTTTGAGGAAAAGAGGAGGAAGGAATATTGGGTATGTTTGCTGTCTTGAGTCATGTATAAAAAATAATATAGGTAGAATAATAAATGAAAATATAAACAAATATAATTAAATAAAAAATAAATAAATAAAAAGTAAGCATATAGTTCCGACAATAAGCTCAGACACCAGTTCAGGACCAAAGTAGTGAAATAGTGTATAATTTAGTATCATCAAGATAACTTACTCTGAGAATGTATGATCTGTTTCATAGAGTGTAACAGAAATAGAAAGAGCACAATCCTGCCCTCCAGATTCAACTAAGGTCATCCGTTTCAGCAATAAATGCTGTTTGCATTTCAATTAAATTGGACTTTAATCTTGACTGAAAGGGATGCAGGCAATATACTTCTTCTAGTGTCCTCCATAGTTGATTCCTCACCAACCTCTTAATGACCTTCCCCCAAATATCAAACCATAGCCTCTACAACAACTGCTTATTTCAAGACACTACACAACTGGCCGTCTAAAGCAACCTGCATAGGTACAACTCTAAGTGGCAGAGGAGTCTATCTACATATTCAGGTACAAAAATTCAGCAGAACCTCAGCAGATAAACAGGCACAGATTAGAAAAGGTGTTTGAGTTTACTGCCCTTTTCCCCCCTTTTAACAACCCTGTAATCCTTTAATTCAGGGTGGAGTCAGGATGACTGAATGGAGCTGAGGCCACATGTCCTTCCTGACACCTATGCGGAGTTCGCAGCAGGTATTTTCTCTTTGCACCCTGAGAAACATCTCCCGTTGCCTAGGACTGAATTCTCAACCTTCCGAATGGGAGGCAAGCATCTTCACCACTAGACTGCCGTGTTGCTCTGTTTGAGTCAACTGCATGCAGACACCCAAAAAAGACTGCTCCCATCAATTCACTGCAATCCTGAAAAATATTTATGTTCCATGTTTTTCAGAAGAAAATCCTGATTCTGACTTCAAGCTGATTCAAGCTGATTGGCTTTGGTCTTGTTGGTACGCTGATGTTTGCCTGGCTCAAGGACTGAGGCTGGCATCTTTAGAGGCAGAGTGAAATGCTTTGTAGTATATATCACTTGGCAGCTCACAGGCAAGTGAACAAGGACTGGCTTCTTATATCTAAACCTGGGAAGCTGATATTTGATTAATCCATGTCATGGGAGTCCAAGAAGGGGGGTTCCTGACTAGCTGCTTATCTAGATTTCTGATTGATGTATTTGAAAAAAACATCAAAAGAAAACTGGTTACAGTTTGGCCTGTCCTTGAGCCAGTACAAAATATCAGAATTAATAGAATAGAGTTGGAAGAGACCTTGGAGATCTTCTAGTCTCTGCTCAAACAGGAAAAACCTATTCCATTCTGGACAAATGGCTGTCCAATCTCTTCTTAAAAACCTCCAGTGATGGAAGCACCCAGAACTTCTGAAGGTGACCTATTCCACTGGTTATTTGTTCTGTCAGGAAATTTCTCCTTAGTTCTAGGTTGCTTCTCTCTTTGATCAGTTTCCATCCAGTGCTTCTTGCCTTCCTTCTGGTTCTTTGGAAAATAGGTTGATCCTGTCTTCTTTATGGCCCCTCAAATATTGGAACGCTATTATCATGTCACCCCTAGTTCTTCGAGACTAGACATACCCAATTCCTGCAACCATTCTTCATTTGCTCTAGCCCCCTAATGATCTTTGTTGTTCTTCTCTACATTCTTTCTATAGTCTTGTTCTGACCCGGCCTTTGCAGAAACAAAAAACAGACTCCCCCTGAGCACCCATCAGAGCCTTCCCCAGGCTTCAAAACTGGCCCAAATTCTTCCCTAACCTTCTCATCATCTGAGTCTGCCATCAGCAAATCTGATGAGTTCCCCTTCTAATCTCATCTAAATCATTTATGAAGATATTGAAGAGTATTGGGCCTAAGACAGAAACTTGGGATACCCCACTATATATTTTCCTTCATGTAGATGTAGTTCTATTAAGGACTACATGCTGAGTGTGTTTTGTCAGCCAGTTATAAATCCATCTGGTGGTGATGCTGACCATCCCACATTTTTCTAACTTACTAACAAGTAGGTTGTGGTCTACTCTGTCAAATGCCTTAATAGCAATTAGAAAAATCTGGCAGACTATAAACCACAATTTAGTTAGCCATACTAAACCACGGCAAAATATAGTGTACAATATGCAAAGGAAAAATAAACACAATCAGTTTGTGTAAAAAGGACTTGCCATCATAAAAAAATAAGATTTTTCTTTTATTAAAATAAAGCAAACGATTTCTCCTAGGAGAATGGTGGTTAAGTCAAATATACTAAAAGCTCTATCTTTTTTTCATAAGGATAAATCAATTATCTAACTAAGTAATAAATTCATTTTCTTCCTTTGATACTATGAATCTTGGTTGCATATATATATATTTTGGATCTCTTAATAAAATATTTGAGGATATAGTAAGAACTTTTGATGTATTTTAAATGATTTAAAATAAAGACAACACCTTGACATCTTTTCTTACTAAATGTATAAAAAATACAAAATTGAATTACGGCTTCAGATTTTATTTTTCTAATGCAATCTTTAAAAAAAGACTTTAAAGACAACACATTAGCTAGCCAAAGTATTTTATCAAAGGCTTTTGAACAAAGGTTTGCTTGAATACTGTAAACTTACATTTTTTGACATTCCTTACGCTCTCCCAACATAGGATCTCCCATTTCCCCAAGAATTGTAGCTTCCACTTCATAATGAACTATAAGTGCTTTTTCTGATGGATGTACATCAATATTTCCTCCTTTTACCTTTCTGTTAAGTAAAAATTAAATAGTGAATAAAAAAACCTACAATTTTTATATCAGCTAAGCATAGAAATAAAAACAGTTTTTGAGTATCTTGGCAGGCTGCAGTACCTCACAAGTTTGAACTGATCAAGACAATCTATATTATATTTTATAAAGCAGCTGTTACATATGCTTCCTTTATATTACTTCCAGCTCGTCAGCTATGCAAGTTTTTTAAAAATGAAACAATATCCCACCAAAAAGCAATAGAGAACCTCAGTAGAGAGAATGGCCATTGCCATGGATGTAAATAGGTACAATATATTATTTTGCCATTGTGAGCAATGCAATTTATACCATTTTACCTTGAGATATTATCCCCCGTTTGACAGAAGAGATCATTCTTACCACTAGTAAACAAAAAGCTGCCTCCAAGTTTCCTTCAATCCGAGACTAAAACCATATTCGAAATTTGGACTTGCAATTCCGAGACCTCATAGATCAGTCAACATCATGAGAAAATAAAGTATTGTGCCATTAGATCAGGCCAAAAACTCCCCTATCATTCAACAATGACCTGTCAGGCAGCTCAATCCAGTTTGCCTGATCATCATTTCCCCATCCTATATCTCTTTCCCTGACGCTTCCCCTTCTCAGCAGTCATTTTACAGATTCAACTCCTTTTCTTTATATATAAAAAATAATACAGAGACCAAAGAGGCCTCTGTATTGGTTTATTGGGAAGGCACGAACAGCCTTGGAATAGCTTCAAGGCCGGCACCTGCATTATGTCATTACTTCAGTGGACTAGGCCAGTGTTTTTCAACCACTGTGCCGTGGCACACTAGTGTGCC